TAAAAAGAGGAGAAAGAGAAGGGAAAGAAAGAAAGAAAGGAAAAGGAAGGAAGGAAGGAAGGAAGGAAGGAAGGAAGGAAGGAAGGAAGGATGGAAGGAAGGAAGGAAGGAAGGAAGCCAGAAATCATCACAGACCAGAGGAGGAGACATGGTGAAGAACAACACATTGGTGGGTAACAACAAGCAGTCTAAATAAAGGTAACTTAATAACCGCACCGGCCTTCAGAGGGCAATGCAAGGCTCGCTGCAGGGGGCAATGCAGGGATCGGCCTGCAGGGGGCAGTGCAGGGATTTCTTGAAGTGAACAATTCACGCCTTGCATGCACGGAGCAGGGCAGGACTCACCTGCAGAAGGCCTATCAGGGCTTGGTCTGGAGGGGACAGTACTGGGCTCACCTGCAGCGGGCAGTGAAGAGCTCACTGGTGCAATTGAAGGCATTAGCAACTCAGGTCCATCCAGTCGTTGCCATGGAGCTCATGAGCCCGGAGAAGTTTTTTTTTTTTTAAACTTAGAAAAAAACAGTTTTTATGTGAAATCTCCCAGTGTTCAACATTGACTGGGTTGTTTCAGTCACAGCCTGTGGACCACATCAAACAGATCTCAGGGGCCAAGCCACACAGTTCAACCTGCCAGCTCAGTCACATGACCAGCTCGGGCCAGAACAGCAGGCCCAGCCACCAGCCACTTGCTTCACAGTCCCTTCTCACCAGGCTCCTAGAGTCAGGGACAGCAGCAGGACCCTCCCAACAGCAGCTGTTAGCTTCCGGAATGGCCCACACTGAACTCTCAACCTTCCCCAGACCTTGGGCTGTCCTGTCTGGGTCGATGGCACTGAGTTCTGCTTGGCTGTGGAAGCTGGGAGCCTGAGGCTTACTGTCCAGCCCTCCCCCTCTCATTCCCACTTCCTCTAAGCCCACTCTGAAACTGGAGTTGTAGGGCAACAGCCTTGACTCCAGCAACCCAAATAAGGTAGATTTGGCCACCTGCCCCAAACACTATTAAAGAGTCAAAGAACGGTAAAAAGCAGAAAAAGGAGACATAATCATTGGTCACTGGGAAGATAAACAGATAAGGGGTCCTCTGACCCCCAACTTTACCATGGGTTGCTGATACAATTAGCTTTGTATAGAGGGAGAATTCAGGCAGCAGCAGTGAGAGGTATACATTATTAAGCAATCCTGATCCAGATTCGGCCCCATCATTAATACAACTGGTCCTGCAAGGTGGTCCTTAAGTTGTTACAGGGGTAGAGCTTAGCAGATGAGCCTGCAGAGGACCCGAGTTCAATTTTCATCATCCATGTCATGTGATCACAATTTCCTGTGACTCTAGCTCCATGGAATCCAATGCCTTACAGCACACACACACACACACACACACACACACACACACACACACACACACACGCACACACTGAACTATTGTTTTAAAAATCCTTAAATGAGTTTGGTGGTGGTGGTGAGTTTTTTGCTTTTTGTTTTTGTTTTTTTTGTTTTTTGTTGTTTTTGTTTTTCAAGACAGAGTCTGTCTGTGTAGCCCTGGCTGTCCTGGAACTTGCTTTATTAATCAGGTTGGGCTTGAACTCACAGGGATCCTCCTGCCTCTGCCTCCTGAGTGCTGGGATTAAAGGTGAGTGCCACCACCGCCCGGCTTGTTGTTGTTTTAAAAGAAGAAATTGTTATACAGGCTAATCACCCCAGGGATCAAACTGAGTTGCTACAAGATGACCTGCTCTAGGGTACGGCTTCCACATGACGGATAACCGTAACATCCTGGAGGTGGTCTGTCCTTCCTTTAGGTCTTGCTGTTACTGGTTTAGCAAAAGCAGTTTCTAGATGTCTGTCACAACCCCATTCAGGGTTTAGTCCTGAGTCCTTGTGACACCCCAGGGTTCTATACGGACAACCCTGAGTCTACGCAGGTTCCCACCCCTCCCCCACCACCTGCCCATTTTGCACACAGTGCTATGAATTTGGTGGACCTAACCCCACCCAGGGGTCTTCTGGATAGACCCTTCCCAGCCCCAGAAGTGCACGTATCCTTCCTTGAGGAGGGCCTGCTGCCCCACAGGCCCTCTGACCTCTGCCTGTTAGCCCCCTTGACGCCATCCCTTACCCTGGTAGACTCTGCCTTCATGTAAAAAGCAGGTGGATGGCTCTACACTTGAGGCCCTCTATCCCCACCCTCCCATGACACACAACTGGTACATTCATCCCCCAGACTGGCCCAGAGCTCGGTGCCAAGGCCCAACACAAGCTATCCTGCTTATATGTATGCATGTATGTATGTATGCATGTATGCATGTATGTATGCATGTATGCATTTGTTTACCTATTTGCGTATGTATGAGACATGGCCTCTCGCATCCCGAGCTGGTTCTGAACTCTGTAGCATGGATGATCTTGAGCTGCTGGTCCTCCTCTGGCCTCCCTGCTGCTGGAATTACAGGCATGCACCGCAGGATCAACCCTAGGGTTTCACACCAAGCAAACACTCTACCAACCGAGCCACATCCCAGCCCCTCAAGCAGGCAGACTGAGGGATAGAAGGATGGAAGAGAGAGAAGAGGCCAAAGGGCCATCTGGCTGCACAGTCACAGCCTCGCCCTCTCTGATTCCATCTGCTCAAAGCTCTACCCTTTGTGTCCTTCCAATGTGTGGGTGTGGTGAGTGGTACAGGCATGTTGTGCACCTGTGTGTACACATGTGTGAGCATGCACATGTGCAGGTGTGGGTGTAGAAAAAGGCTATTTGCAGGATGAAGACCCATCCAGGAGTGACACAGAGGCAGCATCACAGAGCATAGGCTGAGATATCTCTGTGGGGGACAGGACATGGTACCTTCCAGCCCATCCCCAAACCCTCTTTTACATTCTGCTGAAAAGGCATGCTTGGGAGTGAGCCAATTGTGTTTAGTTCTCAGGAGCCCAGTACCCCCAGCATCTGCCTCACAGGTGTCCTCAATAGACAAAAACAAGAGGTCTCTGTTAGAGCCACCAAACACACATTAGCCATATGTGAAAAGATGAGTCATATTCGACCCAGATTTTCACCTGCCTCGCTCCATAGCGAACAGCGTGGGGCTCTGCTCGGCTTCCAAACCCTGACCTGACTCTGAGCCAGCCACAGCTCCCCAGGAGCACTTCTCAAGTTCAGCCTCAGAGGCTCCCACAAGTTACCTACAAGCTGCCTTGTCAAAACAATTAAAAATAACGATGACAATAATCATGCTGATAATCCTGGCAATAGCGTGAACAGTGTGCTCACTGCATGCCAGGGACGGGTGTAAGTTGTTGACACAAACTCAACCCTCACAAGAGCCTCAGAAGAGCAGAACTATTGTCAGTGCTTCAGGGGAGGAAGCTTCAACGCAGAGAAGGTAACTGACTTCTCCAAGGAATGAGCAGAACAAGCCGCCAGCCCTCACTGGCTCCCGAGAGTCTGTGGGCTCTGTTGAAATCACAGCCAGCACTCAAGTCTCTGATCTTAGTAAGTGTGGATTCTTGGTCCATAAAATGCAAGAAGAAAGATCCCGATTAAACCCTGGGTTGGCATCCTGCCAGCCAAACGCCACCACTCTGTTTTCTGGTGAGATGAGGTTACCTGCCAAAATCTACTTATTTGCATCCCCATCCTCCCCACAGCCAGTCTGGTCCTGGCACCTTCTTAAAACCATTCCTCTGAAGAGACATTCCTGGCCCCTGGCCCCTCCAGCCCTCCCAACACACCCGTAGGTGTACCCTGCAGTGGAGGTGGGATCCCCCAGGACAGGCTGAGAACCTGGAGGCAGCCGTAGGGGAAGACGACAGAGGATGGGGTGGTACTCTCTCCTAGCCTTGTCCAAACCCACCAGCTGGTCACAGCGTGGGCAGGACCTGCGTCAGAACAAGCCGGTGTGAAGTTCAACCTGTTTGAGCAGCCCTTGTCTTGACGGCCTCGTTCCTACGGCTGGTTAACATCTTGCGTTGAATTTTAACATGAAATATCTTTTTGACACAGCAAGGAGAGCAAAGTCCCTTTGGAGCAGAGAGGCCAAACTTGCAGGAGCCGCTGGGCACATGAAAGGAAGAGCATGGAGCCGGCCACTCGGTGCTCTCCTTGACCTACTTAGGGCAGATTTGTTCAGTGAGTGAGCCACAGACGCCTTCCACGGTGGCGGGGAGTCGGGGAGTAGGGCAGAAGGGGCTGAAAGGGGCACTCCCATGAGGGGGCCAGCTAAAGCCTCAAGCACACTCACCCCCAAGTCCAGCTGCCTATCTAGCTGATGACAAGCTGGCAGTTTCTGGCCACCCCAGCCACTTTCCCCAGCATACAGCCTCCAGGTGGGCGTAAGACACACAGGTAGCCGGCCATTGCTGGAGCCCAGAGGTCAGCAGGGAAAATGCTCTTGAATGATATAGAATGCTTCCAGGATCAAAAGAATCGTCCTGGGGACCCTGTGTCTGTTGGGTGCTAGTCAGGACAGCAGGCAGGTGGGGTGTGGGGAGAAAGCTGCTGTGGGGGTGACCCTGGAAGTCAGCTTAAGGAGAAAGGCTACTTTTATCTGAAAAAGCCTACTAGGGGACTTTGGGCTACATACATACAAGGTTGGAATCTGGTTAGAGACTGAACAGGCCCAGTGGGTGGTGTACGGAAGCAAAGACAGACCTTTTCAGCCACCAAGAACACCATAGGGACTTTCCTGGGGCCCCTTGAGGAGGTGGAGGAGCAGGAGAAATGGACCCTGGAGCTTAGGGAGAGAGGACAGTAGTGACCTACAGGAAAACAGGCAGATGCTGGGACAGAGGGGCCTGAGTGTAGCTCCACGGCTCCCCAGGCAGCAGACGGCCTGGCTTCACTGCTCTGCCTCAGGATCACCTCTATAAATACGTGTATAGGCATGGTCTGTCTGTTCAGGAGAAGTGTCAGAGTGATTAAATAGGTGGACTCAGAATAGTGGTCAATACATACTCAAGAGTCAATGCCATCATCACCACCATTTCCATCACCATTGTCCTTAGCACCATCACTGTTATCAACATCTCCATTATCGCTATCACTTTCCCTACCGCCACCAACCCCACCACCATCACCATCATCATCCCCACCATCACCTTCCCTACCATCTTCATCATCGTCGTCACCGCCATCATCACCATCCTCACCATCATCACCATCACTGCCACCACTCACATCAACGTCCTCCTCACCAACACCAGCACCCACACCATCCTCACGGTCTCCACCATCACTATATCATCATCACTGTCCCCAACACCACTGTCATCATTTCATCATCACCATCATTTCCAGGGTCACCACTACCCTCCCCATCCCCACTACCAATCCTCCCCGTCACTCTAATCACCACCCTCCTTCCCCAATGCCACCGTCACCTCTTCTGTATCTTTATTACTGTACCCACTAAAGTCACCACCGCGATCATCATCGGTGCACTGTTACATCACCATCGTAACGCCCACCATCGCTGCCATCTTCACTGCGGCCGCCACCACCATTATTACCATCGCTGTCGTTAACACGGAAGGTAGCAGGTCTTGGGTGCTCTGTAGGTAATTTTGAGGTGATCTTGAGGTCATGTCCAGAACACATTCAGTAGTGATCAGGAGTGGAGTTGGTACTGTTATGTGGAAGGGCAATGGCCCAGATTTCCGGAACATCCCAGAACAGCCATTTAGAGTGAGCAATATTGGAGGAATTGTCTAGGTGGCATGTGGGCTGAGGCTTCACACCTCCTCACTTAGACACCGCACATCTGGAGAAGGGGGACTAGAGACCAACCCTTCCCATCCTCTAGACACCCTGGGCTTTTTAAAGGCAGGCTGGCCTTTAGTTCTGCCTGGGGCACTGTGAGAGAAACAGTGGCTGGGACCCGACCCTCGGGAGCCTGGAAGCCTGTGACCTGACTCAGGACCCCTACTTGGGACAGGCATCTTTAGGTGCTTCTCCCCTACACATGGGTGTAGAGGAACCGGCAGGGAATAGATTTGGGAGGACATGGCTGGTTCTGGTAAAAGGGACAGGAAAGAACGGAGGTGGGGAGTGTGTGCATGTACAGGAAGGAGTCGATGCCCGGTGGGTCAGGACCAGGCAGCAGAGGAGGGAAAAGGCTCCCAAGAGCTACGCCCTTCTCTCTGAAGCAATGGAGATCCAAGGAGAGCTCTGCTCCGGGCTGGGCTGCAGACTAGTTGATAGAGTGCTTGCTTGCCTACTGTGCATGACACCCTGGTTCAGTTCCCATAAAACCAGGTGTGGGGGTTGGGGGGATGCCTGTAATCCCAGAGCTTGTACAGTGGGGGCAGGAGCCCTGGAGACTAAGGTCCTCATCAGTTATATGCAGAGATTTCCAACAGGCTCTGACTGTTCTTTGCCATCATCCTTTTCTTGGTCCAGGGCTACATCACGGGCATCTTGACTTTCTGGACTGATCATGTAGCAGGGTTTCTTTTCTTTCTTCTTCTTCTTTTTTTTTTTTTTTTTTTTTTTTTTGGTGTGTGCATCCTCCTGGTCCCCAATATCCCGCAGTGATGGCAGCTGCCTCTGGCCTCCAGCCAGGCAGAAGAAAGCTAGAGGCTATATGAGATCCTGTCTCAATACACACTAAAATGTCCACTCAAAGGTGACAAGGGACAGGCTGCTAGGTCCCTTCTAAGAGACTGTCCCTGAAGTACCATTCCATTTTAGAATGAAGTGAGCTGAGAAGTTCTGATCCTGCAGTGACGATTTCTCAGCTTCTCAAGAACCTGAGAACAGTGCCCTGGAACTCTGCAGCACCCTACATAGCAGCCACCTCAGGCTGTCATGTCACCTCCTCCAGCAGACTCCTGGATTTACTACTCTTGCCCTGGCCCCCAGGGCTTTGCTGAGTCACCCATAGTCAGCTCTCCTAGCCTGGCCTGCCCTTTCTTCTGCCTGGCTGGAGGCCAGAGGCAGCTGCCATCACTGCAAGATATTGGGGACCAGGAGAATGCACACACCAAAAGAGAGAAGGGGGGAGGGAGGGAGGGAGGGAGGGAGGGAGGGAGGAAGGAAGGAAGGAAGGAAGGAAGGAAGGAAGAAAGGAAGAAGGAATGAAGGAAGAAAGAAAGAAAAGAAAAAACCTGCTGCACGATCAGTCCAGAAAGTCAAGATGCCCATGATGTACTGGACCAAGAAAAGGATGATGGCAAAGAACAGTCAGAGCCTGTTTAGAAAACACACCCACTTTACTGTCTGATGCAGCCCACGGCAGCAGGGACATGAAGGCCTTCAGCAGCTCAGTCTCCAAGGCCTTCAGCAGCTCAGTCTCCTTCCTGTCTAACCTCACCTACGCTCTTGGACTTTCCCCATCCTGCATTTACATCCCAATTAAAACTGGACCAACAACTGCTGCCTCAGCTCCTTCTGACCTGCACCCCAACCCCCTCTTCCCACTCCTCTCTACCTACTGGAATCCACAGAACCCCTGCCCCTCTTCAACAGACTCCTTTCAACTCCAAGGACCAGGGACAAGAGGAGCCCCTTCCAGTTGCTGGCGAATACTCACTGTCCCAGGCTTCCTTTGGTCAAGGGGCCAAGCCCTCCATGTGTGTCAATCCAAAAGTAGAACCAGGCTGGAGAGGCCCCTGGGCCCACTTACAAAATCTTATCACAGGCATTGAGGGGATACCAGCTGCATTCCCCAAGACACACATCTCTTCTGTACTCAAACTTACAACGTCCGCATTCCCCACTGCCCGTCTGCGTCTTAAGTCGCCAGTCTTGTCTTCCCAATACCCCATGACAGAGGGCCATCCCTGGGGCCCCAGGAGCACCTCACCTCTGCAGCTGGGCCACACCCTCCACTGGACTCCAGGACATGGCCCTCTGGGGCTCAAGGAACCTGGCTCCAGCCAACGTTCAACTTCTACCCGTCATCAAGATCCTGATTTCTAACTAGGACTTCCATCGGCACCTGAGCTAGCTGTACCATCTTCTCGAAAACAAAGCACTAACGACACATTAGCCCGAGAGTGACGCAGCTCACCGTCCACAGGTCCCCTCATCCTGCCTCCCAGTGAAGAGCCAGGTTGGGGAAAGGAAAGTCCAAGAGCGTAGGTGAGGTTAGACCGGAAGGAGACTGAGCTATGTCTCCATCCACTCATAGCTCTCACCACTGAACCGAGGACAGAATTACTATGTGTCACCTTCAGCTCTAGCTAACAAAGGCCAAATCAGGTAGGTAGATTCACTGTACTCTCTTCCCTATGGCTGACACATGAGCCCAGTGGCTTCAGGTGACAATTGTAGGGTCACAAGCAGGAAAAGGCTACATTCCCTTGGAGGACAGCCATCCACCAATCAACCACCTAGGTCTTTACACAATTAAGAAAGAAGCTTCTAGACGGGAGAGACTCAACAGTTGACAGCATGTACTGCTCTTCCAGAGGACTGGAGTTCAGGTCCCTGTACCCACATTCAGCAGCTCACAACTGCCTGTAACTCCAGTTCCAGGGGTTCTGTACCTCTTCTGGCCTCTGTGGGCACCTGCATGCATGTGTACACACACACACACACACACACACACACACACACACACACACACACCACCCATATATACACACAGTAAAAATGTTTTTTATTTTCAAAGAACTTCCATGTCAGGAATGGTGATGTAACCTATCCTAGCACTCAAGAGGTAGAGGCAGCAGGATCAGGAGTTTAAGGCCGTCCTCTGTTACCTAGAGAGTTCTAGTGCTACATGAGAACCTGTCTCACAAACACAAAGAGTGCTGGGGCTATATCTCAGTCGGCAGAGTGTTTACCTAGCACTCATGAAGCCCTGGGTTCAATCCCCAGCAGTGCATAAATCAGCGGTGGTGATGCCCGACTGTAATCTCCTCATTTGGGGTGGAGTCAGGAGGTCTGAGGCCAACCTGGACCGAGACCTTATTTCAGAAAGAGAGCAAGAGAGACTTTGAGAATCATCTTGGGGACAGCTTGTCAGAGCAGTGGATGACTGATCCACACGATTTCCCGGTCTCCATCCTCTCGTTGGATGCTCCTGGAATGTGTTGCCTGATCCCACTTCCTGTCTTCCAGTCTTCATGTGACCCCTGCACCTGTCTGGATTTCACTCCACCCTTTGCAACAGTCCCTTGGGACATGGTCATCAGGGAAGTTCACGTGGCCAGGTCCAGTCCCAGACTCTCCCTCCCCTGTCTTCAGCATTAATGTTCACCCTGCTTCAGGAGTGCCATGCTGGGCTATATTTCATTGCTGACCATTCCTGTCCTCACATCTCTCTGGCTGGTCTCCTGCTCCATGCCTGGTCAAGGGTTTGGCTTCTACCACACCTCTTTCTCTGAAAGGTCTCTGTTGGCCTGTGACTTCACATGCTCTTTGTCCCCAAGTCACTCCAAGGTGCCACCACCTGAATGACTCAGGGATATGTTGAGCCCAATCCACTCAGAGCTGGGGATAGTCACTTAACTCTGACCTTCTCCTTCCCCAGGACGCCTCACCTTTGTGACCGGCCCCATCACCCACCGCCTGACCACAGTTTTTCTTGTTCCACTCCCAGAACTACCTTGAACCCACGCCAGTCAGTAAGCCTGGTGCCGACAGGCTTCTCTCCTGCCTTTCTGTGCCAGCCTTCACCACCATTTCTGTTCACACGTTGCTCCCATGGCTTCCTGGGGGACATTTCCTCCACACATTCCCCTTGGTCAGGCTGTTCTCCTCCCAGCAGCCAGGGAATCCTTCAAACAGCAGGCAAGCCGAGCTGGAGAGGCGCTCCATGGTTTAGTGCTTGCTGTTCTGCTAGAGGACCAGGGCCCCTGGTGCCTAACACAGGATTTATCGTGTGGTTTGGCAGTGTAGTAAAGGTGGGAGGGGATAGAGCAGAGGCAAAGGGAGAAATCCTTGGAATTAGTTCAGCTTAGAGACACATGAGACCGAGAGCTGAGGAGCCAGGGTGTGAACTGTGACTCCATCCCAGACTGAGGGCTGTGTAACGATGGGCAAAAAATTGATCCTAAGACAAGGAGACCCACAGAAGAGACAGAGCCTCAATAGTTTAGGACATTTGTCTTGAAGGGGCATATGGTAATGTCAAAAAAGCTTATTGAGGCTCAGTCCAGGGAATCAATGAAGGAGAGCAAGAGCAGTGGCAGCTTCAGGTGGCCAGTGAGGCCCATAGACTGGACGGCATGGATACGCACAAATCCCCAAGCATAGGATAGCATTCAAGCTAGCATCATGACAGCCCTGAGACCGCAAGTGTCGGTAAACTGCACGTTTTGCAACTCTGTGGGTTTGGTGTCCAGGTTTCGGCACCAAAATGTAGGTAAAGCGCACGTTTTGCGACTCTGTGGGTTTGGCGTCCCAGGTTTCGGCACCAAAAATGTTAGTAAATTTCACCAAAAATGTTAGTAAAAGTGATTGCAAAAACTCTGGGTTTGGTGTCAGGCAACACCTTGAGCTGCTTAGGACAGCTCTGATGGCTGAACTGGAGACAGTTCAACCGTGGAAGGCAAGGCATCCCGGATGCCTCAGCTGCTCAGAACAAGAGCTCTGCTCTGAAGGTGTCCTGGACACCGGAAGCTGTTTAGCACAGCTCTGACGGCTGGAACTGCAAAGAAGCAGCCCAACCCTGGGAGGGAAATTTTTCTGACTTCTTGGGAGAGTCAGGCCTGGAACTGCTTCAGCAGGGAAGGATATCCTGACTCTTCGGGAAAGTCAAGGTATACCTGGTGTGATGGGGAATGGTCTCCCCGCAGGATATAGCCATCCTGCTCCTCTCCTGGACAGCCTCTAGAGCTGCGTTTTGCTCAGCCTCCGCCTCCACTTCAGAGGGCTTCCTAGCAGAGCTCTGCTTCTCTGGCCTAAGATGTTGCTTCTTTTGCTTCACTCTGTGAAAGGGGAAACCCCAGCAGAAATGTAGCAATCTCCTCCAGCTCCAGAAAAAAGTGTTACGGTTTTCTCTGTCCACTGAGGGATGTCTCAGCAAAGATCTGTTCAGCTCCTCCTTGCCCTGCTCTTTCAGCTCTCTCTCTTGTTTTGTCCACTGGGGAACGTCTCAGCCAGGATCTTCTCTACGCCAGTGAATGAAGATCTTCACACCCAAAAAACTCTTTTGAGGAAAAGGTTTATTTGGGAAGGAGGAGTCCAGGAGAGTAGCTGCCTCTACCAGAATGGAGTGAATAGACTTTTTTTCTAACTGACTAGGCTGAGCAGTTTACACAGGAAGTCTTGGGGGTGGAGTCAACCCCGGGCCCAGGGTTCAGCTATCCTGCTCTGTGATTGGTTGGTTTCACAAGTCAGTTGGCCAGGGGAAGAGATCTGATGTCTCTGATCTGACTGAGCCAAACTGTGTTTCTTTCTGCCCTGATCTGAGCGTCTTTCCCTAGTTCTGGGCTCCAGGGTCAGGGTGGGTTTCTTTAGCCAGTCCCTTTTCCCTACAGCAAGGCCTCCCAGCCACCTCGCTTGGGTTAGAGCACAGCATAGTCATGAGGTCCCTGTAAGGTGGGCAGGAGCCCTGAGGGCTGACAGCCCCCAACACCCTTAGTGGCAGGATTAGGCCCCAGGTCTTGCCAAACAGAGGCCAGGGCCACGAGGGCAGGTGGAGGAAGAAGTTGAGGCTTTCATTTGCAATGCCGTTGGCCTGGTTAAACTTTGAAGAAATGATTAGTAAACCTTCTTCTATTAAATGACTCCTAGTCACACTTTAATTCTAGTCAGAGTGACTTCTCTCTCCCTCCTCCTTGCTTCCCGAGCCTGGTTTTTGCTTCTCGTTTTTCTCTTTCCGGGAGCCAGGGTCCACTGTGTCTCTGAGAGGACCCTGAGGCCTCCAGATTACAGCAGAGGGTTCCAGGTCTGAGGGTGAGCCACCCCTAAAAGCAGCCAGCAGGCAGATACCAAGGAGCCTTGGTCGGCTCTGACTGGGTGGCACAGTGTCCTGACGTGCACCCGGGAAGATGGGCGTGGGCAGAGCTGTAGGGGAAGGAGGCTCATCAGACTGACCCGGGGGTCCCGGGCCAGCTTCTGTTATCTGGCAGTTGCATGGTGATACCCAGGAGAAATCCATGGAATTTTCTGAACTCCTGGACCGAGTAGGGGGCCTGGGCAGGTTCCAGGTCCTCCAAACCGTGGCTCTGGTGACCCCCATTTTGTGGGTCACCAGCCAGAACATGCTGGAGAACTTCTCAGCTGCTGTGCCCCGCCACCGCTGTTGGGTACCCCTTCTGGACAACAGTACTGCCCAGGCAAGTGTCCCTGGGGACTTGGGGCCCGATGACCTTCTGACCGTCTCCATCCCACCTGGGCCTGCTCAGCAACCCCACCAGTGCCTCCGCTTCCGTCAACCTCAGTGGCAGCTTATGAAGACCAACGCCACGGCCACCAACTGGAGTGAGGCCGACACTGAGCCATGTGAGGACGGCTGGGTCTATGACCGCAGCGTCTTCACGTCCACGATCGTGACCACAGTAAGAGTGCTTGGGAGGTCAAAATCACAGTCACAGTTGCCTGGACTTAGTGTTCCAGTCTCAAAAAGGATATACCTCCCCAGGCCTCCTCACTGTGGGCGGAGGGGGTGGGGGGGGGCAAGCAAGACTTGCAGGGAACTAAGGGCAAGAGTCCATCTGCAAAGTTAGATGGAGTCAATCGTGCCTGGGACCCCAGCCCTCGGGAGGCAGGAGGATCACCATGAGTCTGAGGCCAGCCTGAACTACTCAGTGAGTTACGTTTACACAGACTGGCCTGGGGTGGCACCCCTGTTTCTGCATCACCCCATGGCTTTATCCATAGCTGAGCCTTGGCTGGGGACTCCAGGTCACCCAGTCTCAGGAACCTGTTGGCTGTCTCTAGGCTGAGTGCACAGGACCCGGACAAGCACTGGCCTCTCATGAGAGGTGTTGGCAGGCTGGGGAGATAAATCAGCTTGCCCTGGAAGGATGAAAACCTGAGTTAGCTCTCCAGCACCCATGAAAAACCTGGGCCCGGTGGCGGCATGACTGTGATATCAGCTCTAGAGAGGCAGAAACAGGGGGGCTCCCGGGGCTGACTAGCCAGCCAGCCCAGTCTAATCAGTGAGCCCCAGGTTCAGTGAGGAGACTATGTCACAGAAATAAGGTAGACAGTTCAGAGATTGACCTCTGACCCTCACAAGCACTGCACTGTGCACAGACACACATTCTCTACACACACACACACACACACACACACACACACACACACACACACACAAAGAAAAGGAGGAAGAGAAGGAGGAAAAAGAGGAGGAGTCACACAGTCCAAGCCAATGGAGAGGGGCAACTACCCCAGCAAGCAGGAAGGAGGAAAGTCCCTGAGTTTGAGTGTGTGTGTGTGTGTGTGTGTGTGTGTGTGTGTGTGTGTGTGCATGCACGTGTGCACGCGCACGTGTACAAAAGAAAGCAAGCCTCCAGGGAAGGTGGAGGGCTCTCAGCTAAGAGCCATGGCTCAGGAGAGAGCAGATAAGGCTGGAGGGGTCCTGACCTTTGACCCAGTAGCAAGGGTGACAGGATAATCCTTAAGAGCCCAAGCTACTAAGCCTGTGGGTGCCTCACGGCCCTGCCCACACCCACTCCCTTCTAGCTCCTTTGCCCCTAACTGCCCTCCTCCTGATGTGCCCTGGCCTTCTTTTGCTCCAGTGGGACCTGGTGTGTGATTCCCAGGCCATGAGACCCATGGCCCAGTCCGTCTACCTGGCTGGAATCCTGGTAGGAGCCGCAGTGTGTGGCCATACCTCAGACAGGTGAGTATGCCCAGCTGGTCCAGGCAGGCTCTCCTGAATGGACCTGACATTCTCTCTAAGCCACAAGCTCACCAGTTCGAGGGGTCACTGTTTCTCTCCAAATTTTCATTCCTAAAATCTGCTCTGCCACACACCAGCCTTCAGCCACTGCTTGGGTGCTCCTGCCAGGCCTGACTTGAGCCTTCTTGTGCTCATAACCGTCCCATGAGTAGAGAATACGAGTCTGGCCCCACGTATGGCTTTGTGCCGTCCTCATTCGGGGGCAGGAACAGGATGGCCCTTCCCGGCCCAGATCTTTGTTGCTGGCCAATGGTATGCCTCCCCATGTGTCCCGCAGGTTTGGGCGCAGGAGGGTGCTGACTTGGAGCTATCTTCAGGTGGCTGTATCGGGCATAACAGCTGCCTTCATCCCCTTCTTCCCCCTCTACTGCCTGCTCCGTTTCCTGGTGGCCTCTGCAGTGGCGGGTGTCATGATGAACACAGTCAGTCTCTGTATGTCCCCCCATTGGTGCTGGGTTGGGGAGGCTGTAATGCACGCCCCAGGATTGACCTCCTTCTTTGCACCTTGCAGTGATGGAGTGGACATCAGCCCGGGGCCGCACCTTGATGATGACCTTGAACTCCGTGGGCTTCAGCTTTGGCCATGTCCTGACAGGCTCTATGGCCTATGGTGTGCGCAGCTGGAGGATGCTGCAGCTGGCTGTCTCCGTGCCCTTCTTCCTCTACTTTGTATCTTCATGGTGGGTGCTGCAGCCTCCTTGAAAGACGCTCTGCCCACTCTCGGGCGTTCAGTGTGGGAGACTCTCCTTCTGCAGACAGAGGGCTTAGGAGCTCTGGAGGTCCAGAGCCTCAAGAAGCTCACCACTGCTGCCCAAAGCCCAAATGCCCCTGCTCCAGCTCACCCTCAGCGAGCCAGCTGCCATCTTTCTGTGGCCCAGCACTTAACTGGAGTCACACACAGTCCGAGCTCCCTCCCTCAGGGGGTCTTGCTAGTTAGTAACTCCAGCCCCTTTCATAGGCTGCAGACCCCAAATCTCTGCCTCAGCTTACCTCATCCCCACCCTTACACCTACCCTCAGCATCTCCAGTTCCACTTGGACTCATACCTCCAGCCTCAGGTCTCCAACTACCTTCATGACCCCTCCTCACCCCTGACCCCTCCTCACCCTTGACCCCTCATCACCCCTGACCCCTCCCCACCCCTGACCCTTCCTCACCCCTGACCCCTCCTCACCCTGACCCCTCCTCACCCCTGACCCCTCCCACCTACTTCCCAGGTGCTTCCTCCAGCTCACTGTCCAAGTCTCCCAAGGCCAACAGGTCACTGAGAGTCACGGACTCCGTTTGTACTTTCATTCCCTTGTCCTTCAAATCCAGGCTGGGGAGGGGGTGCTCAGGGCCCTAGTGGATATAAAACAGATGGCTCCTCCCAGCTGCTGCTCAAAGGGAACAGCATGTCCTTGGCAGGGGCGGGTGGGGGGGCACCTTTTGTAATCATAGGCCTGGAGGGGGGAGCAATGCTGTGTGGTGGTCACTACCAAAGGCCTGGAGGGCTGAACAGTTCAGTGCAGCAAGTGTGGGGGGGGGGATGGGGGGGTGCGTGCGCATGGGGGGAGAGAGAGGAGGAGGAGGAGGAGAGAGAGAGCACTGTTCGGTGAGACGGAGTGACCTGTGTTTGATGCCAACACAGTGAGAAGCGAGTTGATATCAAGCAGCCGTATCCGGACACAGAGTTGGCTGAGGCAGGACCAGGGAATATCAGGCACGATGAGGTCAAAGGGTCCAAGGATCAGTGGCTAAGAGCGGAGCAGACAGAAGGGGCTTGGTGATCTTACAGACACCGGCCCGAGCCTGAGCCCCGGGCAGGGAGGGTGAAGCTGTTTGTAGCAGGAAGGCAATGCAACTTGGGAAAAGATGTCGTGAGGGTGAGACACCCTGGTAGTCACTGTAGTTCTGCAGCCATTGGAGTCCTTATTATACCCAGGCCTGGTTCATGATGAGGCTGAGGGGGGCCAGGGGACAAGGAGGAGGTGGGAAGGGACAATAGAGTCCCTCCCTCTCCAGCAGCCATCTCAGGGACTAGAGGACATGAAGCCCCCACACTCAGAGAGGACGGAGACAGGTGATCTAGGTGACCTGGCTATACACCCCACTGCTACCACATTGTCCTTTATGGCCTCCATTGACCTCAGTTGCCCTGAGACTGGAGCTTACAGTTCCACTGAAGACACTTCCTTAGGCAGAGGGAAGAGACAGGGAGGGAGGGGGATACAATGGGGGCCACAATCAGTGGCCCCCTCCCACACCCGCCCACTTCAGGTGGCTTCCAGAATCAGCACGCTGGCTCCTCACGGTGGGCAAGCTGGAGCAGGGCCTGCAGGAGCTACAGAAGGTAGCTGCTATCAACGGGAAGAAGGCAGAGGGAGACACATTGACCATGGAGGTAAGGCAGAGCTGGGCCTTCCCTCAACCCTTCCCCTGTCCCTCAGATCTCTCCCTGGCCTTGCACAGGAGCTCCCTTGGAGGTCAAGTGAGGGCCCTGGCTCTCAAAGGAGGGCCCCTGGAGGAGGGGGCCTGTGGATACCTGGTGCTAACAGCCCCCACTCCCACAGGTCTTGCGGTCAGCCACGAAGGAGGAGCGAAATGAGGACCAAACCCGCGCCACGATAGGCACCCTACTCCACACACCTGGGCTGCGCCTTCGAACCTTCGTCTCCATGATGTGCTGGTAGAAGATGCCATTTTACCCGAGGCTACCAGCTGTGGGGAAGCCTGAAGTCAGGGCAGCTGCCAACCAGGGATGGGGCCACCAGTCATGTCTCTAGAATGACCTTTAGCTCAGGGACCTTGCTGTCTATAGTCAGAGTCCCAGAGGAAACAAGCAAGGCCGGGTGGGCTGGTGAGCAGGGATTCCCGGGCCAAGTTCCTAGAAGAGACCGAGTGAGGCGGATCAAAGCGGTGGAAAAGCCGGAGAGACGAAGCAGACACGAAGCAGACAGACAGGCTGGCCCATCTCGTTAGAGGCACCAGGCAGAAACCGGCTATTGCCCCCGCTTGGAAGCCTAGGCCACCCAGAAAAGACTCTGTAGCGGGGATACTGTTCAGTGGAATCTAGAGCCAACGAGATAACATCCCAAATGGAGTGCCGAGCAGAGAGAGAGGGAGAAACACCCAGATTCTCTCCTCGGCTCCCCCTCGGGTACCACCAGCCCCTCTCTCCCAGTGCCTAAGGTGGGCCTGGAAACGGCCGACAGGGCAGGCAGAGGAACAGCCGCCCCAGGCTGATCACCCACCCTCGTTCCCAGGTTTGCCTTCGGCTTCACCTTCTACGGCCTGGCCCTCAACCTGCAGGCCTTGGGGAGCAACATCTTCCTGCTCCAAGTGCTCGTCGGGGTTGTGGACCTCCCGGTGAAGATAGGCAGCCTGCTGCTGCTCAACTACCTGGGCCGACGTCTCTGCCAGGCCAGCTCCCTGGTGCTGCCAGGACTCTGCATCCTGGCCAACATACTGGTGCCCCACGGTGAGCTGCAGCTCAGCTGCGGGTGAGCAGGAGGAGGCAAAAATGTGGCGTGCTAGCTGAGTGAGGCTCTCTTACCTCCCCCAGGCAGGGGAGTGTGGAACCAGACTAGACAGCGAGGAACCACAGCAGAGGACCCACAGGAAAGAGGCTGTATGGAGGAGAGTGCCAGGGGTGGAGCAGAGATGGGATGGTAGAAATTTAGGGGAGATTAGGAAAGCCGTAACGCTAACACAGAACTCAGTCATAGATTAGGGTGGGGGAGAAAGGGAGGTGAGGAGGACTCCTGGGGTCGGGCTCTGAGGAGATGGAAGGTCAGTAGACTGGGGACACAGCGTGGACACTGGAGGCATGACTCAGAGACATTTGACAGACTGGCCTATAGGCCAGGGAGCAGCCCAGGGAATACAGGACCCGGGACTCTGCTGATCCCATCACTATTCACAGAGATGGAGGTCCTCCGCTCGTCCTTGGCTGTGCTGGGGCTGGGGTCACTGGGCTCCGCCTTCACCTGTGTTACCATCTTCAGCAGTGAACTCTTCCCCACTGTGCTCAGGTGAGGTTGTCACGGGCTCAAGGAGAGATTATTATAGCTCGAGGGGAGAGCTGCCCCAGGTCCCCATGGGGTTCCTTTCCACGTGGTCTCAGGGCTCCACCGTTAAGCTTCCACCCTGCTGGTCCACTGGGCCTCCCCGGACCTAGTGGAGTTGGTCCAGGCCAGAGGTCAAGGCCCGAGGCAGGCAGAGTGTGACTCACGGTCAAATGTGCCTCCCCAGGATGACAGCTGTGGGCCTGGGCCAGGTGGCAGCCCGAGGGGGAGCCATCCTGGGGCCTCTGGTGCCGCTGCTAGGCGTCTATGGCTCCTGGCTGCCCCTGCTGGTGTATGGAGTGGTGTCAGTGCTAAGTGGCCTGGCTGCACTGCTCCTGCCTGAGACCAAGAACTTACCACTGCCCGACACCATTCAAGACATCCAAAAACAGTGAGTGGACTAGCCTGGGAACTACCTCTTCCTCCCTCCCTCCTTCCCTTCCTCCCTCCCTCCTTCCCTACCTCCCTCCTTCCCTTCCTCCCTCCCTCCCCTCTTCCTCCCATAGAAGTCCCAAACAGGGTGGCCTGGGACTCACTCCTCTCACTGAACAGAGGAGAAAGCAGAAGCTAAGGGAGGGCCAGGCTAGCCCAGAGTTACACAGCACTTTGGGAGAGTGGAGACCCAGGCTGACAGGTGGACTTGAACCCTCTGCCCTTCATCCCACCATGTGGAGGAACAAATGGCCCAGCCAATCCCAGGTCCACCTTGAAAGACACACAGAGAGAGGTTGGGAGAGAGAAAGTGCTCACGACCGAGCTGGCCTTCGTCAGGGAGAGGTCCTGGGGTGTGGTGGGTGTTGCTGGGGTCTTCACAGGCGGCAGACTCTGCCACTAAAGCCTTGGCTGGTTGACAAGGCTGTCACCACCCATCTCACCTTAATATGCTCAGTAAAGCTCAGACCTGAGCCCCAGGCAGGATGTTCAGTCCTCAGCATAGACGTGGGTCAAGGGTCAGGGGTCACTCTACTCCTTAGATCCCACTTCTCTCTTGCTTTCCTGAACAGGTCAGTGAAGAAGGTGACACAGGACAGAGCAGGCCAGTCCACCCTGATGTCTACATGGCTGTAGCCTCCTGAGAGTCTATGACAGGACTGGAGGAGGAGGACCATGACGACCAAGACAAGAGGAGGGGACAGACAGGGAGAGAGGAAGGAAAGGGTGGAGCTGGCGATGGCGGGTAAGGGCGCCCGCCTCCAGGCCTGAGCCTAGGACCTCCATTCCCGGGACGCACAGTGGTGGGAGAGAGCTGACTGCGCAAAGCTGTCTTCTGACCTCCACATGGACAGTTATCCCTCCCCCGGTGATACACACAAATAAATAATGTATGTAAAAAGGGGGGAGAATGAAAAGGAGGAAGAAGAGAAGGAGAAGGAAAGAGAAAGAGAGAGGAAGGAAGGAGGAAGAGGAGCAGGAAGAAGGAGAGGAGGGAGAAGAGGAGGGGATGAGGGAAGAGGAGGAGGAAAAGGTGGTTCTTCTACCCCCTGCTGACAGTCACAGGAAGCAAGAGCTCCATTTCCAGGGGTCCCTTTAGAGGGCTGCCTTTCTGGACCTCCCTCTAACAGAGGGGCAAAAGACAGTTTGAACGACAGAAGACTGCCCCCAACACTGCCATTACCGACTCCCCATGAGGCTGCACACCAGAGAGAGGCCGAGGCCCCGGGACACGTCCCCACTGCTCACTGCCCCAGCTGCCCCAGCTGCCCCAGCTGCCCCAGGACTCAGAACTGACCATCCTCTTCTTTAGTTCAGCACAAGCCCAGGGGTCTCAGCTTCTCAGTGTCACTGAGGCCCTTGGTCAGCTGACCTGGCCTCTCTCCAACTCTCCCCACTCCTGTCACATGCCTATCAGCAACCTCTGCCTGAGTCTTCTTCCTGCCTTCCCACTTGACACTCTCCTAAGCCTTCCAGACCCACCCTGGGGCCTTCCTTCCAAGGTTCAGGGCCAGCCCATGACTCTGGTGGCATTGTATCCATGGTTAGGGCTACACATCTGCCTCTTCTCACCCTCCAGCAAGTAAGTTCCCTGAGGGTCACTGGTCCCCTGCCCCACATCCTCACTCATGCATGGAGCCTGTTGGAAGGTGGGATGAGGGACTGGCTAAAGAGAAAATTAAATGAATGACAGCCTCTCCTGGGTGCCTGAGGATCTGCAAGAGTCTACAGGGTAGGAGGAAGGCCTTCTCACCGTAGACTTTCCCAAGGTTGGCTTTCCTGTGTTCTGGACCAGGTTTGGGGCTGCTTTTACCAGCGCCTTTCATGGTCCTTCTCACATCATAGCTCTCTGCATCTTGTGATGTACTACCTTTTCTCACAGATGGGACAACTGAGGCCTGGGGAAACAGACTGCCCATAACACAGTCTCTGTCTGTACGTCTCCTGAGCCCTGCCCTGGTCACGATGCCATCTAGGAAAATAGGAATGCATGCAACAGGACCTCTGTCCCTCTCAGAACCAGCCAGGACTCTGGGTTCTGCTGGGACTGCTCACAAGAAAGGCCATGCAGTGTCCCAGAGACAGTGTGCTGCTCAGTGGCTCAGTAGCTGGCCCACCAGTCTCTGCATCCACCTGTGTGGCTGCTCTCAGGTACCTCACAAAAGGCTGCAACACACACGTGTGCACATGACAAAAGGTGGGTAGGAAACAGGAAGCAGCCCTGCCCGACATGTTGGTCCTGCAGGCTTACTCCTCAGCTGCAGCTCCTGAGCCTCTGGGAGATTATGTCCTTTGGCCATTTATACACACACACACACACACACACACACACACACACACACACACACACACTTCCTAGTGATACTCCCCAGACAGAAGGTAGAGGTAAGATTATATTTATACCACCTGATGTCTCAGGACATCTGTTCTGTCACTCCAGAACTGGCTGCATTTTGGGGGCGGGGGGGGGGGGGGCTACAGGAAGCCTAGAAGCTTCCAGAAGGCAGAGCTCAGCAGAGAGAGGGATCCTTCTTTCTCCCACAGTGTTCTGGCTCCACAAACAGAGATGCTCCTCCATCCATATTCGGAATGGCCACCCCATCAGGACAAAGGGTTCTGTCACTCTCATGAGTGACAGCATCAATGTGTCTGAAGAGTCAGTCACCTGACAAAAGGCAGAGGCTGAACTCAGGCTGTTGCCCACACCCATTTGAGATATGCCCTCTTTTTTATGCCTCCTGTGGGAGTTTCTAACCTCAAAGCTGTTGGGATTCCAACAGTGGAGGAGCCAAGAGAACCTTTTGGAAAGGTAAACTGAGCCAATAGCCACATCCAGAAATCTTTCTTTAGAAAACAAAGCCCTTGAGTGACAAGTCTTGATTCAGAGAGGCAGGTGGAGTCCCAGTTGCATGGCAACCGACACTAATGAAGCCATCCTTTCAGCCCCTACAACACATCCTGCCTCAGTCAGGGTGACTGTAAAGACTGATTGCTGGAGTAAGGGTAAAGCCATTCCTTGCTTCTTGTCATCAAGAGTTTCCTGTTGTTTTCTGTGACTAACAATGCAGGTGAAGAAGGGGAGCTAAGCCTGGGCTTTGAGCAGAGAACAGAGTAACACAAGGCCCCAGGGGTGAGGGCATGACCACCTGGAGACAGGCCACCCTGGCAGCACAGCCCCATGTCAAAGCCTCCCCAGACTCCCATAGATGAGTCAGTGGGATCATCCCAAGCTCCCCGACCAAAGGCTGCACGGAGGGGACAAGCAGGGCTGGAAGCCAGTAGGTTCAGGAGGCCAAGGAGAGGCCAAGCTCACAGATGTCACACCTGGAGTCAGGCACATGCTACATGTGGACAGCAGAGCCAGGCAATGTCGTCAGCACTGAGAAGTCCTCAGAGGGGGCCGAGCCACTGCTCTACCTTGGGGCCCTGAACTAGCCACTGCCACCCTGGCCACCAGCAGAGACTACATCTCCTTCCAAAGACTGGGAAAGGTGACAGCTATCCTGTACCACAAGAGTGGCTGGTATACACCTGAGAAGTCAAGGTCACAGAACCCCAGCCAATACCACACACAAGCCACAGGTGTCGCCCACCCTCAGCCCAGCAGGGACTTGAATGTGAGACACAGAACAGTTGTCCGATAACCCAATGTTGTATTCAACCCAAAAGGCTGGGGGACTGGGCCAGAGAAATGGCTCAGTGTTGGTCCAGGGGGCAAAGACACTTGTCATCAAGCCTGAACCCTGAATTTCGTCTTCAGGACCGATGTCGTGGAAGCAGGGAACTGCCTCCTGTAAGATGCCTTCTAAGGGCACATACATCTTCTCACACTAGATACACAAATATTCGAGAAAACTTACCGACAGCCAGGTGTAGCCACCGAGGCCCCGACCGCAGCACTGGGCCCAGACCCAGGATCTAACGGCACCCACCCAGAACAAACTACACAGGACTGTTGGAATTTGGAAAGTTTTTGTTTTCTTTTTCCCACACATTTCCGGGTTTGGGGTGTTTTCCAAGACTCAGACACATTTGTTAACAAAGAGAAAAAAAGTGGGGGAGCAGGGAGCCCATGGGCGGAGAAGGGACCCCAGCCATCCGCAGACACAGCCTCACTCCCTCCCTTCCCTGCACCTGCAGCAAGCTGGTGCCACAGACCACAGCTCTAGTACCTCGGTTATTTGTTTTTAATATATATCTGCATTTGCCTTTCCCCTCCCCCCCGCCCCCCCCACCCCGCTCCTCCAGCGGCTTCCCAGCAATGCACGTTGCCCGGCAGCGACACACACAACAGGCCTTGACCAGGCCCAAGCCCCATCCCTAGGCGGCCCCAGGCAGGAGCTTCGCCTTTTGAGGGAACTTGGGGCACTAGGAGAATGAACCCCACTGCCCGGACCCAGCCACGGAAGCTGGGCCGCTCTGGGCCCACCCTCCCACGCCTCTTCTCCCGGCGTCTCTGGAAATCCAAAGGGAGGGAAGCAGAGAAAACAGAAATCTTTAAAAAAAAAAAAAGAAAGAAAGAAAGAAAGAAAGAAAGAAAGAAAGAAAGAAAAAGAAAGAAAGAAAGAAAGAAAGAAAGAAAGAAAGAAAGAAAGAAAGAAAGAAAGAAAGAAAGAAAGAAAGAAAAAAAGAAAAAGAAAAAGGGGGGAGAGTGAGGAGGGTAGGGACAAGAGACACAGCAAGCCTGAACCGGGACAGGAGGGCTGAGGAGAAGGAAGGCAGGAGGAACAGGGAGGAAGGAAATCGAGGGAAATAAACGGACGGCGCAGTGGACACTTTACAAAACCCCAGCCTTCCTTCCCGCCCAGCCCCACCAAAATAAAACTACCCCCCTTAAAAAAATAAATCAACCCAGGGCTGTGAGCACGTGCCCTGCCTGACAGGCGCAGAGCTGAGAAGGACAGCCAGCCCCAGAGCTGACAGTGCGGCGCGGTGGGCAGCGGGAGGGAAGGGGATGAGCACGAAGTTATATTCCTTTTCTTTTTTTTTTTTGCGTTTCCTCTTCGTGGGAGAAGCCTGAGGCAGCTGGGGAGAGAGTCCCCAGGTCCCCCTGCAGGGAGAGGGCCGCACCCTCCTCCCGGGCCCTCCCGGGAGGAGCAGTTGGCAGTGGGGCGCGGTGCCTGGACTGGGTGCTCAGACGTAATACTCCTTGTCTTTGTTCTTCTTGGCCTTGCTGGGCGTCTTGGGGGCAGCAGGGGCCTTCTCCTTCACCACCGCCCCATTGCTCTGGGCCGAGTTACTGATGTAATTCCGGCTCTGGTCCACTTGGTAGGAGCCCTCGTCGCGGTTGCGATACTTGTACATGGCGTAGAGAAGGATGAGGATGCAGAGCGCCGCCGCCGCCACGATGCCCACCACCATGCCCGTGGTGCTGCTGGATTCACGGATCACCTCCACCGCGCCCGGCGGGCCGCGCTCCCCCGGCCCCGTGGGGTTGGCTGTGGGCAGACGGGGGAAACCGGGGGCTGAGGTCACGCCGGGGCGCAGGGGAGGCGGCCGCCGCGGCTCGAAGGCCGTGGGGACCCCGGGCCCCAGGGGTGGGTTCTCCAGCAGTGGCTGCAGCGGGTCTCGGTGGTTCATTTTGCCCGCAGGCAGGTTGGGGGCTGGGGCGGAGGGCGCAAGTAGCACCCCGGGGGCGCCCGTGGCCCCATCTGTCCTGAGGTTGGGTCGGGGCACAGGCTTGCGGGGCGACAGGAGGGTGGTGCGGTCCGTGACCAAGGGGAAGGTGGTGTAAAAGTCCTCGTCGTCCGTGGGGGGGAGGCTGGAGTCAAAGACCTCCCCGGAGGCGAAGCCCGAGGCCTCCACGGGCTCCTCGCAGTCGCTGTCGTCGCGCTCAGCCTGGCACGGGCCCCCCGAGGACGGGCGCCGCGCGGCGGGCGGGGGCA